TTTTATGCGATGGAAATTTGTTCACTTTCTTTTTCTTATTTTTTGTTGGATCTTTCATTTATTGCAAAAACTCCTTCAAATATATCTCAAAGCAAAATAATTTGCTTTGTGGTTACAAAATGGATAAAAATTTTGGGTTCACCAAATGTGTGGTAATTAAGAGTTTGTTTGGGAGAGCTTAAAATCCAATTAAAATTGAAAATATAGTCGTTATTGAGTCACACCCGTCTAATAAAAGTCAACAATAACCACTAGTTTTTTAATTTTAATCTCTACCAAATACACTCTAAAATTAATTGACTTTCACTAAAAATCTTATCAAAATTTTAAACTAAACCAAACAAGTGCTTAGTGATCTAATTGAGATTTCAATGAAAGTTTAGTCCTCGTGAATGAAATTTACATGGAAATATTTTTACTCTAGTTTACGTCTAGTATAATAAGGTACAAAATATATGTGATCCTTCGACACGGTCATAGTGTAAATGTTCAAGATTGTTTCGATTAATATTTAACATATCTACATAGTTTGCATAGTGTTTAGCGTTGCTTAACGTGTCAAAAATACACATATATGTTGTTCTATTCAACATTATCAAATGTGTAGTAATTGAATATTATACACCAATTGTCACATAAATTGAGAATCAGCCTGCAAAGCAACATATAACGATTACTATAGTGAGCGACTGCAAATAAGATTACTCTATTTAGATAATGAACCTCAAACATAGACATCATTTCACATTGCATGTTCAAATAATATTTATGCCTTCACATAAAAAACAAAATTATTTTATGGAGTCAATATGATTGAAAATATTAAAAGAAAAAAAATGAAATTTTAGATAATGAAGCAGAAGAAACATAGACATCATTTCACATGGCATGTTCTAATTAATATTTCTGCAGTCGGTTTCACATATGGCTACTCTTTTAAATTAATTAATTTTATTAGTCAAATTTAAATAAATTTTATAATATCACTTAACTTAATCAAACAAACACTCTGAATTTTTTGCGTGTTCAAATAATATTTATGCCCCTGCATAATTAATACTTGAAGTGGCAGGGTTGTGGTTTGGCGAGTTCGTGCTGTGTGTTCTGCCCCTTATCTAGGGAGGAATAGTTGTCCCATTGAACTAGTTAATTTGAAAATGGGAAGATTACGTAAATAAGATGTTTAATTTTACCAATTTAAAATTTAAGATATTATGTTTAAAATTTCAAGTTTCAGAGCTTTTTTAAATTTTATTTATAAATTAATTAAATATATTAAAGTCACAATTCCATATAATTTGTCACATATTATTAATTGATCACAAATCACAATTTTTTTATATGTGACAAATTGTTTTACGGTCACAATTCAAAAATTTTATAGGTCACAACACAAATCAAAAATTTATACGTCACAATTTATTTATTGGTCACAAATCTATCTAATTAATAAGTCGCATTTTATTCATTATTCACAAATTTTATATGTCACAAATTTTTTTATAGCCAGAAAAATCAAATTAATTGTTCACAAATTATATTTAGGTCACAGTTTATCAAATTATTGGTCACAAAGTAATAAATTTTTAGCTCACAAAGTATGTATTGGTCATAATTTATCTGTTTAATTGATCACATATTATTTATTGGTCACACTCCAACTAATTTATTGTTCACAATCAACCAAATCATAGGTGACCACCACCTAAACCACCGTCGTCAGAACCACCAACACCACCTTTTGACAACAAATCGTAGCCAACATCACCACCACCTCCACATACCACCACACACAGCACAGATCCGCCGCATACCGCACCACCCACAACACACCACCACCACCCACAAGCACAGTACCACCGCCATATCACCAGCACCCCCAACATCACTATCACATCATTATCGCAGCCAACATCACAACCACCACCCAAACACCACCAAAAAATGAAATCCAAAATTATCACAGTCGCCACAACAATACCAACACCACTGTCACCGTTGCAACCGCCACCTCACCATCACGTCCACCACCATCACCACCCCCACCAAAAAATACCCAAATCATCGCTACCGCCGCGACCTCCATAAATCCATCATACCACAACCAAAAATCCACCACGCCGCCACGACCTCCACAAATCCACTATACCACAACCACCAGGGCGGTACAACGATACTTGCAGTATTGCCGTGCGCAGACACAAAAAAGCCCTAAAAGTGCGATGCTGGACCTTTGTGAAGACAACTCCAAGAAGAAGAAAGGGATGAGAGAGAAAGAGAGAGCGTGCGCTCAGAAGCGGCGGTGGTGGTGGCGGCACGAGTGATGGAGGGAGAAGAGATGGAGATAAGACGGAGGGAGAAGAGATGGAGAGAGAAGAGAGAGTGTGAGAAGACGAAGAGCGAAGAGAGTGAGAAAAAGTGAAAATTCTAGGGTTTGCCAGTTTGAAATGAAATTAATTAGGGTTTGGGATGAAAATTGTATAATTAATATTTAATATTTAAAAATAAAATATCTGAATTTTGAAAAGTGAAACCTTATATCTGAAATTTGAAATTAAATTTTGAAAACTTTTTTTTGTGTAATTTCCTCTTTGAAAATTTAAATTAGAACCCCGTTGGCCCCTCATTTGTCAACCATGCATTCAACTATAAGAGCAAGAAATAAAAGTAAAATAAACAAATACACACAAGAGAGCAGATGAAATGATATACATATTACTTGTTTGATAGTGCTTTTTAGTGCTTATAAGATGTGGTCCTACAGAATTTGTGCATAATAAGTGTGTATTAAGTCATGAGTCCTACGAAATGTATGGATAAAAAGTATGTTTGACTAGCTTAATTTATAATTCAAGCTATGCGAAACATGCTTATAGAACATGTACATATTTACTCCATGGACTTTCTATGGGAGGCTTAGATTTGTCAATGTTTCACTAATTCTGAGCAATCAATCAATAGTCTAACAGTGTTTTGAAGTAGATACCTTTGCTGAAATCATATAACGTGATGATATTGATTTTTTGATGCAATAATCGGATTTGGGAGTTGTAGTGGATTTAGATATTTTCATTACAGTGGGTTGTGAAATTGACTAGTGAACGGCATCTAAAGGTACTACGGTGGAGGTTTTTGTTTCTTACGACAAAGGTTCTTTTTAACTATCTTCTCTATTTTTACATTTTGATAGTCACTTGAGGAAAGAAAATGAGGGAGAACTTCAGCATGAAGTGGCTACTCAAAAGTATATGATGTGAAAAATTGCTATACTTTTTCATTAATGCTGGTCGGCCAGGGTCACTGAGGTACATCTAGATTTGGCCCTGGATGAGCAGCATTGCTCACGAAAGGACATAAGAGAAGAAAAGCTACTTTAATGGCCATCAAATATCTCTCTCTCTCTCTCTGTGGAAATTGTCGTCAAACGCTTATAGTTGGGTCGAGTACCCATGGAACTCTATTCCACCTCTATTTTTGCACCCAGTTATTGAAAGTTATTCACTATACAATGGCAGTCTAGTTGTATCGTCCAAATCCAGAATTGAATATTACTGTGGGTGCCGTGCTACGTTTTCAAGGGTGATATATAATTTCCTTGCAGAAGATTTTCTTATCCACCTTTACCGTTTTTCGTTTTACTAATGTTATTAACTTCCTCAAACACCATGTATGGCTTATCAACCTTCTTTGTGAAAATCACTCAGCGCTGCACCCTCACCCCCTCAAAGAAGGTATCTAGCAGCCAGTCACCGCCAACTTCCCTCTCTACTCAACAATCGCATCCATGGATTTTCTCGCATCAGTGGTGGCAAACTTCCTCTCCCACCCTTCACTAAGTGCTTGTTTGGCTATGATTTTAAGCACTTATAAGTTGTGAGTCCTATGGAATATTATGACCAAAAGTAAGAACTTGCATTTCAATTGGCAATGTAACAGTATTTTGATTCTTAAATGGACGTGTTTCCTAGACATAGAACTTACAACTGTGGTTCTTTGGTTATTTTGACCAAAATAATGTGTGCTCCAATTACTTGCAATGTCAATTATTACACTTCTTTTATCCTCTTCCTTTCTTCTTCATCGTCTGGAGCTATGCAGGTCGAGCAATCTCTTTGTCTTTTCAGATTTATAAGAGACTTTTTTGCAAGGTCTTACCATGTTGCTGTATTATCTTCATTTATTAAAGGTGATTCATACTTCCATATTCAGGATAAACAAGAGAAGGAGGTTGTTTTGAAGGCAGTGGGACAGGCAATCAGTAAGGCAGTGACCATTGCAGAGATTATCAAGGTACTTCCATATGAAATTTGACTTGTCATCTTCGTAATGTTTTATTTAAAGTTCTGTTGGTGTATAAGTATTTTTTTGGTATGGTTTGATTTCAGCAGTACTTTTTCTACATATACAAAAGATGAATAATACCGTAACATTTGATGTTTTGTGTTACATACAGAAGAGAATACCTGTATTGCATCAAGATATATCCACTAGCTCAACAACTATAACTGATGCATATGAGCCCATCGAGGAGGGGTTGACTCCGTAAGTTCATAAACCGGCAATGTTCCAGAAAAATGTGTGATTTAATTGTGGAAAAATAAATTTTCTTGTTTCTCCTCTCTTGCAAGGTGGAGATGAAGCGGCAAGTCTCTCTGCTCACAATTACTTTGTCAACTGTTGAATTGAACAAGAACTCGCCCAGGTAAATTTGAAGTTTCAAATTTTTTGTCCATAGAACAATTTTTTTTCATTTTATGAATCTCATAGCTAATCTCCTAAGAAACTTGCAATTAGGTACCAAGCTCCTACTAAGAGCTGCGGCAAGATAAACAAGTCATTGCTCCATCTCTGGATGTTAATCAAGGTGAGCCTGAAGGCTTGATTCTTTTGGTTTAGGGATAAATCATGGTATTTATCCTTTTTGTTTAGAGAAAAGAAAGACCATTTTATATTGGGGTCTGAAAAGGTGTCTACTAAGAAGACTTTTCATCAACCATTACGTCTTGTCATGAATCCTCAATCCAATCATTTTCATAATCTGTTTGTTCAGGGACCACCAACAGCGATTAGCCCCCTAAGCTCGAACTAAATACCTCCTCTTGAGCCTGTTCAATAACTATAGTAGATGCCTTAAATGCTCAACATCTCATTTTTCTTCACAGCTGTGTTTATCTCGCTCATTGGAGGCTGTTATATTGTGTGCTGGCTGTTTTCTAAATCGGCAATGTGTGGCGTAGTGGCCACTAGCCCCATTTACCACATATAAAGCGTTTAGTTTGTTAATATCCCTTAGATGATTGCTTTCTCTTGTTACTAGAAATCTCCTCCTTATAGTTCTTTAAAATTATCTTCTTTTAATTCTTTATTATTTTGTTGTTGAGTTCAACCTAATCATGCTACTTCTTCTTTATTTATTGAGACTTCTAGATCAATACTTCGTGGTCGGTCTTCAAATTTTTGCTTGATCAAGCCTCAGCATCTTCTAGGGGTGTCACGTCACGACTTTTGATTACGCCCCACAAGTCCTTGGATATGAGATTTTTTGCACGGCTTGATTTTTGAGCTTCTTAATTTAACCTACTACTTGTGATGTAGGACAAACATATTATAAATAGGATAAAAATTAGGGTGCGTTTGATTGTAAGGGTGAAAAATGGGTGGAAAGAAAATATTTTATAGGGAAAAGATTTGCCTAAAAAATGTTTTACAAGGAAAATGATTTCAAGTGTGTTTGATTGGTATAATTTTCCATCCGAAAAATTTTTAAATTTTCTATTCGTTTGGCTTTGTTTTACATGGAAAGTGTTTGTTAAAGTGATAATTTTTTCCACAATTGGTTATAAAATTTGTTTCCATTGCCAAAAAGTAAAAAAAAAAAA